TCAAGCTTAACAAAGTGGGGGTTGGGGAGGGGGAGGGGTGAGCGCAGCTTGGAAATTGCTTTCGTTCGTCTCTGTTTCGATTCTTCCATCACCCCAAGGGCCCATGGTACCTAAAGAGGGACTACTTGGGCCTTAAAGTGCTTCCTAGAAAGGGTCTTTGGGGCCAAAGCATATAATGTTTAGGGCTTAGGGTTTAGGGTTTAGGGTTAGGGGTTTAGGGTTTAGGGTTTAATAATAAGGTACATGAACCCTTAGGGCTAATCCTTCTTTGTCATTTTCTTCATTCTCTTCTTCCTGGATCCAGGCCTTCTCTCCTCGAGAACGTAGAGGTTTTCCTATTTAACCTAAACCCTAAACCCTCAACTTTAAAAGTAGAGAAAAACAGAGGATGTCCTGCTAAAAATATCGAAAAGATTTTCTTCCTCCAACAAAAACAAGAAAGTAGAGGTTTTCACATTTCCTACCCTCCCCAACCCTTCCAAACCATTCGCGACACAAAGTCCGCGACAAATACGCCCTCCATCAAATTCTGGGAGCTTAGAGGGGGTTATCATAGCTTCGTTGGGGGCAGCCCTTTTTTTTGGGGGGGTGACGGGGTGAGGGGAGAGATTTTGGGGGATTTGGGAGATCTTGTGAGCATATGGGTTGGGGGTAAAAGAGGAGTCATAGCAAGGGATAGGGCGGCTTTGTGTCAAAGTTTGGGGTGGGGTCTTGTGAGGTTCCGTCCGGGAAATCTGTGCCAGTTCTGCGGAACACAGAACTCTTTCAAAAACCCTAACGGCCTAAAACCTAAATGACCTAAACCCTAAACCCCAAACCCTAAACCCTAAACCCTAAACCCTGGAGACCACTGGGTTCCTAAATTCTACGCGGCGGGGTCTCCCATTCCCAAGAGGTTTGAAGTTTGGGGTTTATGCAGGCTTAAGGCGCAGAATTCTAAGGTTCCAAGTACGGGCCCTGAATTTGGGCCCCTTGTTGTATAGCCCCTTTATACACTAGAAGTAGTAAAGGCCCATACATCCGAGCCCTATACACAAGGGTAAGGGACCATACTAGGGGCCCATGGTTTCACCCTTAGAAGAATTCAGAAAAGTCTAGGGTTTAGGGTTTAGGGTTTAGGGTGTAGGGTTTAGGGCTAGGGCTTCGTAGCCGCCAAATGCGGGGTGTCAACGCCGGCTCCTGGCTGCCCACAACGTCCCACGTGTCAGGGCCTGCCAGGGCTCATCGCGCCATCTTCAGGGTTTAGGGTTTAGGGTGTGGGGTTTAGTGTTTCGGGTTTCTAGGGTTTAGGGTTTCTAGGGTTTAGGGTTTAGGGTTTAGGGTTGAGGGTTGAGGGTTTTAGGTGTCTGGGGATGCTGCTCGAGGAGTTTGAGCCGAAATACTAGAATGGGGTGAGGGGTTCAGGGTTGAGGCTTATCGCTTAAGCCACACTGATGAGAAAACCACGTGATTTTGTGCATCCATATTCTGGTACGTTAGTTCGGGGTTACTGCGTGCGTGGGTGCGTGGGTGCGCGGGGGCGTTGGGGGGTTTGGTGCATTGGCGCGTGGGTGCGTGGGTGTGTGGGTGCGTGTGTGACTGCCTGCGTGCATGAGTGCGAGGGTGCAGGGTCTTGGAGATGCTAGGCAAAGCGGGGGAGCAGGCTTTTTGGAACAGATCCCTTAACTGCGAAACTGAAAGAAAAGTAAGCCCTTGATCTTCGTTCAGGTGTCCTTCAAAATATCAAACGGGCTTGCGCAAAACGAATATTGAGCCTTTTGCCTTCGGTCACCTGTCCAGTCAAAATTGGATAACCCATATATACACCCCTCTACCCAACCCTAAACCTTAAAACCTTAAACCCTAAACCCTAAAACCCTAAAACCCTAAAACCCTAAAACCCTAAACCCTAAACCCTAAACGGCCTTGGCCGCCGGCTTGCGGGTTCGCCTGTGCCTCGGCCAATGCCAAGGCCTGGGTCACCAAGCACACGGTTTGGGGTTTAGGGTTTAGGGTTTAGGGTTTAGGGTTTGGGGTTTGGGGTTTGGGGTTTAGGGTTTAGGGTTTGGCGGAAGTCAGCATGGGCTCTTTTTTTGAGTCCCTTGTTATGTAGCCCTCATATACACTCTATATGACAAGGGCCCATACTTCAGAGCGCTATGAAGAAGGGTAAGGGGCCATGCTTTGGGCCCATGGTTCCAACCTTACACTTAGGGTTTAGGGTTTAGGGTTTAGGGTTTAGGGTTTAGGGTTTAGGGTTTAGGGTTTCGGGTTTAGGGTTTAGGGTGCGGGGTTCGTGGCTTGGGCTTCTTTTGGGCTCCTGTTGCCGTAGGTTTCTTTAGGGTCCCTTTTGTAATTAGGCTCTGAGCTGCTGTAAAAGTTTCAAGTGTCGGGTCTGAGGGGTTTAGGGTTTAGGGTTTGTTTAGGGTTTAGGGTTTAGGGTTTAGGGTTTAGGGTTTAGGGTTTAGGGTTTAGGGTTTAGGGTCGAGGTTTTAGGGTTTAGGGTTACCGAAAACGGGACCGTGATGTAGAGAAGTGGCCATCGTTCCTTGCTTCTGTGCTTGAGGTTGAGGGGTTTAGGGTTTAGGGTTTAGGGTTTAGGGTTTAGGGTTTAGGGTTTAGGGTTTAGGGTTTAGGGTGTAGGGTTTAGGGTTTAGGGTTTGGGGTTTGGGGCTTAGGGTTTACACTTCGGGATGTCGGGTTCAAGGAGTTGAGGCTTTGGGAGGTTTGCGGTTTAGGTTCACAAGGGAAAGAGCAATAAGACAAGGAGATCCCCAGGGCCCAAAACGGCACGAAGTAGGGATATTTATATGTACATATATATATATATTATATAATGTGTAAACTTTGCACCCCAAGCAGGCATTCCAAACCCTAAATGCTAAACCCTTGACACTTGGAGCCCGATAGGATTCAAGACAATAGTCGAAGCTTACAACACTTGAGAGTCGACATGCCAGACTATGACTGCAGAGCACCTGCGCGACATGTGAGGGTTCAGGGTTTAGGGTTTATGGGGTTTACAGGGTTTTTAGGGTTTACAGGGTTTTTAGGGGGTTTACAGGGTTTATAGGGTTTATGGGGTTTATAGGGTTTATAGGGTTTGTAGGGTTTATAGGGTGATAGGGTTTAGGTTTAGGGACATGCCCGATGTTGAAAGTGAGCTGAATATTCAAAACACAGAGCATGGACAATGGAATGGCATTTCAGAGGACAAGTACAATAGTTCAAGACTCATCGGGTGAAGAAGCATATCAACATAGAGATCCAGGTATGCCATTAGCAAAATACATTCAAGACGAAAGCTGCCCTGATATTTGTTGAACGATCAAGGTGATTTAGACGGCGTGCACAATACCAAGACCACATAGATGCCATTGGTCCTGCTCATGGACTCAACGCTGCTTTCGTACACACACACACACATTCTACAAGCTCATGTACTGCGTACAAGAAAAAGCTTCCAAACCCTAAACCCTAAACCCCTAAACGTATATCTCACATGTGCAAACGAGCTCATAGAGAACACTGGTTGGCTTTCTTTAGGACTTAAGGTTCAGGGAGCAGAGTTCAGGTTCAGGGTTTAGGGTTAAACCCTAAACCCTAAACCCTAAACCCTAAACCCTAAACGAGTTTATGGTTTGGGGTTTATGGAGCTTAGGCTTCAGGGAGTTTGGGGTTCAAGCAAATCTTGGGCTGAAGGGGCCCATCGATCCGGGGGTGTTTTGGACTTCCTGGGTTTGCAGGGTTCAGGGTTTAGGGCTTCGAAGGGTTTTCAGGTGTAGGGCTTACGTGACTTGCTTACTGTGATGTTTGAAGGAAGTCACTTTGGGTAGTTCTCTAAAATCCGCCGAGGCCTCGGGCCGAAGGTGTATAGGTTGTCAGAACAGGCACCGCCCTCCAAATCCTCCCCCCAAGCCCAAAGCCACTTTTCGGCCCCCTTTTTTTGCTTCAAATGGGTACCCCCCCCAGGAGAGGAGGGTCCGCAAGCGGATGTCTCGCCAGGACCAGAGGCAGTTGCAGCCCATCCCAGCAGGGCGCCCCCCGTTTTTCGCTTCCCACACCGCCCCCCCACTCAAAACCCCCCCCTCCGCCCCCCTTCCCCCCCCCCCCCCCCCCCCTCCAGGTACCCCCCTTACCCCCCCCCCTACCCCCCCCCCCACCCCCTACCCCCCCCCCACCCCTTCGCCAGCAGGGGCCCCCGTTGTTCCCCCACCCCCCCCCCCCCCAACCCCCTCCCCCCCCCCCCCCCCCCCCCCCCCCCCCCCCCCCCCCCCCCCCCCCCCCCCACCCTTCCCTTAAACCTTAAGGGGCCTGGCTCAACCCTACGATCACTCCAAGCCGAACCCTAAACCCAAAAAAACCCTCAACCCCAAAGCGTGAACCTTGAGCCCTAAACTAACCCTCAACCCCAAACCCCAAACCATAAACCATAAACCCGGAACCCTCAACCCTCAACCCTCAACCCTCAACCCAACCCTTATTGCTTGGGGTCGAGCGACTTGGGCGCTGCGGAATCACCATGCTCACGCGGATGCGCTGAGCCGGGCCGAGGCGGGTCGCGTAGCTTTAAAATTAGGGTCCTTTTTTGGGTGCCCAAAATAGCACGGCACCCTAAAAAGGACTTCAAGCGGGGCCCTGAGTTAGAGCAACGAGTCTTTCGGCAACGCAGGCGTGGACGCATGAAGGTACCGCTCGATGTGGCAGCCCGCCGACTGCTCGACACCTAGGGCCCCCTTACTACACTAGGTATAGTTAAGGGACTTATAACCTAGGTTAGGATTCTTACAACCCAATTTGGGGCAGTTCTAAGTCTGCTTATTACTTGGGGGGCCACCCCCCCTTGTAGACCCCTAGTCGTAGTTCCTTGTTGGTGGTCCTACTTTTCCTGTGTCATATGTTGTATTATACTAACCAAAAAAACACACCGCGAGGTGTAGTACCACTAGTTGGATGTCTATGCAAGAACCTTGATCTACGGGCGAATTTCCGCCGAAAAAAAAATGCACACACACCAGCGCTCAAAGACTCGTTCGAGTCGGAGCAGCTGGATCTTCGGCTGAGGGTGCCGGATTTGGTCCCCCGCTAGGATCTTGGGACATCTCAATAGCAGGTAGGCGACGCCACAGACCGAGGGTAACGGCACCCATCACAATCAGCTGCGCCGAGTTCGCAGGCACCCAGTTCCCGAAGTTATCGGACGAAAGTTGGTGAAGAGCTAGCTCGCACGAGAAGTAGGCCCCAAAAAGCAGCGACCCTACCTTGAGCGTTGTCACTGTCTCTAACGTCGCCGACTAGAGCAAGAACTAGTTTTGGTACAGCAGACCTAGAAAATGTGTGCCAACGACGATACAGCTGCGGCCACGAGAGCAGCAGAAAGCAGCCACTGCGCCCACATGCTGTGCCCAATGTTGCGGACTCTGTAAGCCAGGCGAAGCAGAATCAGAGCAAAACTTGGAACCACGCAGAAGAGATAAGTTGCAGCTGCAAGCGTCACCTCCAGCACTGCGGTATGACTGTTGAGATGGCCGAGCGTGTCCAATACGGCAAATGCAACTGGGCTTGCCGCCTGCACGATGCGCCAGTATGAGAACGCCTGATTTGCTAGCTGGTAGACCAAAGCTTTCCTTGGTAGCCCAGTCAGGGCACCCTGTTTTTGGGGTTGGTTATTTCATAAGGGATTTCCCTAACCAAAAAAAGGGTAAAGGGTACCACTGGGCTACCAAGTTTCAAAAGCCGGCTCCGAACGTGAGACTCGAACTTTGACACCGACCCGAACCAAGCAGAAATGCACCGAAGTAGGATGACGCGGTCGCACATCACTGCGTCACCGTCGGCATTCACGTGGCCGCGGACACAGCAAGAACACGAGGACTGTTGAACAGTGAAATGACGGACTTGATGTTGAACCACATCAATACTTCGACAGTGCTGAATCACGACACGGGCAAGAAGCAGCAGGCATGGGAACGCCGTTGCGCATACGAAGATTCCACTCCAAGGATACAGCGGCAGGCCCGTGCACAACAATGTAAGCATGAGCACACTGAGACCGAGGTGGCCCACAACAAACGCGGGGCCTGTAAACACCGGGCAAACCCGCACAGACTCCTCCGCGCCATGCCCTTTGCTGTGAAAGAAACCTGCCATCTCCTTACTGCGACTGCAATGTCAAAGTCGGAACCCTGGAAAAAGGAAAACTGGTGAGCCTGCGTTTCTTAAGGCATTCGTCCATCGTACAGTACCGAAGCAATAGTACCCTATAAAGATGCCTACAGTTTTAGATGCTGTCGCCTTTAATCCAAACTTGCAACGTCTTTCCACAAAGCACGGGGTGTCGAACACACACCACAATCTCGTGATCCATGTCTCATCCCACAGGATGAGAAGCGACTGTGAGCCTTTGAGCAAAGGGTTTCAGGTTTAGGGTTTAGGGTTCAGGGTTCAGGGTTCAGGGTTCAGGGTTCAGGGTTTAGGGTTTAGGGTTTAGTGTTTAGGGTTTAGGCTTTAGGGTTTAGGGCTCGGGCTTCGACTTGGGGTATGTGCTGCACTAGAAATTTCGGTGGTGCATAAGATCGGACAAAAGGTGATAGCCGCGTTGACGCATAAGCAACCACTTCCCTACTTCCCTAGTGAGAACCAGCCAGTCTCTTGTCTTGAGGTTTTGACTTCTTCTTCGGTTGCTATTGCAACTCTTGATACTGCTGATGATCTTGCTGATACTGTTGTGTTGATACAGTAGAATATCACAAGACGTTTTTGATATGCCCTAAATGCTAGACACAAGACATCCCATTTGTACCCAGACAAAAAGTAGGGAGTCCCGCAAGACAAAACCCAAGTACAAAATTCTGCTTTTGGTCGCGAAAGAAGCATCTCAGAAATGCACCCATGCCTGGGATCGGGTCACGGAAGGAACCCTAAACCCTAAACCCTAAACCCTAAACCCTAAACCCTACACCCTACACCCTAAACCCTAAGCCCTAAACCCTAAACCCGAACCTTAGGACCTAAGAGCAGCCCTGAACCTGGCCCTGGCAATGCCCTGGTCGGCTTTGCCCCTTGATGCACAAAAAAAGACCTAAGCTTCTCAAGTCCCAAAGCACAGTGAGGATAACGCCTCGACATCTTAAACTCTATAAGCCCTAAGCCCTAAACCCTAAACCCTAAACCCCTTAAAGGAAAAGGCCAGGGCACTAACCAGGGAGGCAGCTTTCAGCACTTCGTCTGTCTGGCTGATGCAGGCGAGATCAAGGAAAGCCAGCCTCCTCGGGTTCATAGGGTTTAGGGTTTAGGTTTAGGGTTTGGGGTTTAGGGTTTAGGGCTTTAGGGATGTTATCGTGATTTTGGGATGTTGCGGCCACATGAACACATGTCCGTGACCACTCGTGAGCATTCATTGGATCAATTTCTCAACGAATCTATGAGTTCCACTTAACTGCTCACGAAAAGTGCCGTGTTGGTGCCGTGCGTTGACCTATACAAATGACACCAGTGACTCATCAAATGCTATGGCTACAGCCCATGGGTAGTAAAGAATGCTTATACATGATATATACATACATATATATAGATATAGATATAGATATAGATATAGATATAGAAATAGATATAGATATAGATATAGATATAGATATATGCGCGAGCTATTTCTATGCAAAAGAACTCCGTCAAACTCCCCTCTTGGAAGGAGCAAATGCTGCCAACTTTTGTGCAAGTCCAGTGCCTGCAACTGAGGACGCGTGCATGTTCGCAGAGATTACGGCATTCCATGCAGGACACAGGACCTGCCTTGCTCAAGGAAGTCTATTGCCCTGCTAGTCGGGCCTGTGTGCATCTTCGCCGAGACCTAGTCGAATCTTCGCCAAGATTTCATATGGGGGTGTCAGAAATTCGGGGTACCTTATTGGGGTCCTTATTATACGGGAATCTTACTATTGGGTCCGCTATTTTAGGGTGTAGGGTTTAGGCTTAGGGGTACCTTACTGGGGTCCTTGTTATAAAGGAATCCTAATATTTGGGTGTCTTTCTTAGGAGTCTCCTGTTTTCGTCAACTCACATATGCCTTTGTCTTGAGTTTTTGCAAACAACAAGCATGCATCGTCCCCCAGCTCCAGCAAGATCGGAAGACTTACCCGCTAAGATCAGCACAAAGCCCCCCATAGATCACAGAGTTTTCAATAAGTCAGTTGCCTCAAGCCCTAAACCGCCCAAAAAAGTCTGGCCCGCATCGGTGCATACGCGAAAGATCAGAGGAAGTCACCCCACCGACAATTTTTGATCAGCGCAAACCAAATCTCCGTATCACATCATGTCCAATGAGGGTAAGCCCTACCTACATGCGCGGCCACTGATGCTTCGGAGTTTCTTGAATTTTTTATCGCGTTGGTCCAGCAGCTTTTAAATAGACAGGCATCAACACACCCAAACCTTTACGAGAGCGCGCTGCTGTCTGAAAGTACAAAACAGTATCATCGTTATTGGACCCTCCCTGGGTGCAAACTGGCGTCCTACTCTGCCATAGGAAAAGGGTCACGTAGTAGCCGAGGGTGCTGGCTATGGCGCAGCTTGCATTTGCTGGCCCAGCACCGTGATGTACTGGCAAGAAGCCTGCCAAACCTAAGGAGAAAGCTCCCAGGGCACAGAGAGAGGCAGCCACAAACGCCGGAAAGCCATTGTTCAGGGAGAGGATGTTGACATACTTGAGCCAGGACCTGGTGCGCCAGCTATGAGACCAGAACTCATCCAGATGCTCATCCGCCACCTCGCCTAGGTTGGCGATTTTTGAGGGTTTGCAGTATTCAGGGCTTGGGACGAAGTACGACAAAAACCCTGAACACTAAACCACAGCTACCTCAAGGGCCTACCCAGTTGCTGAGGCCATAGAACATCTTCCGCTCTCCGGCCAACCACTTGCACGGCATGCACTGCAACACTCGAAAAATGGGGATCCCTCGCACAATGTCGGGGCTGGCGGCTTTCCTTACTGGCTGACTTGTCTCAGGGTTGAGGACTCAGTAGAAAGGGGAAACCTTGGTACGGGGATGGTACACAAAGCTAGGATGGCCCTTAGAAGCCTCTGACAAATATTCCGAAATATGATCCTCTTAAACCCAGTGAGGGAAAATATCAAAAGCCCCGAGGGCCTACCCAAAAAAAGCGTAAAGCTTTCCAGCTCAGCACTTCAGTTCTCTACTTTGGAGTCGAGCCAAAACCCTAAACCCTAAATCCTAAACCCCAGACCCTAATAGTACTCCAAAACCCAGAGTTTCATCTGCTCAATGTAGCCTTTGACGAACTGAAGCTCCGAGGAGTCCTCCGGCCACTCGGCGAGGTCACAAGGAGCTCCCACTACGACTTCCAAGCCGCAACCGGCCATGGCGCAAAAGAAATAGGGTTTAGGGTTTAGGGTTTAGGGTTTAGGGTTTAGGGTTTAGGGTTTAGGGTTTAGGGTTTAGGGTTTAGGGCAACTCTGCGTTGCCTGCTGCAGCGCAGGATGTTTGGGGAGGCACCAGTCTTCCCCAAAGGGTCCTAAGTACCTGTATAAGGGGGACACCTACCCAAACCATAATAGTCATTCCCATTCTAGAAGCCGTACTTTCTACTATATAGGCACTTAGCACCCTGTGGGGTCTATGTGTTCAACACAGTTGCACATCGTTACTCTTAAAGTGCTGCCTAAAATGTACCAGTGGGTGAAACAGGTCGACCTCTGCTCCGTTTCATGGAGTTGCATCGGCTGCTGAGGCATCGAAGGTTTAGGGTTTAGGGATTCGGGTTTAGGGTTTAGGGTTTAGGGTTTAGGAATTCGGGTTTAGGGTTTAGGGATTCGGGTTTAGGGTTTAGGTTTTATGGAACCCTTCATCGTTTCACAAGCAGGCTTGAGTCAACACGACGTTGGGAGGAGGCAGGCCGACACATCTGGCCAGCTCAGATATCACTTGCTGAACCTTATCTACTGGAGGAGCCTTAATGATTAGAACAGGGTTTGAGAGGTTATTATAGTGTAATTATAAAGGGGCCGCTTCTACTTCTTGAACGAAGAAGCCCCAAGGGCCCATGTACCTGATTGCTATATACTTGGGCCCCAAAGACCCTATATGGGAAGCACTTTAAGGCCCAAGTATTCCCCATTTAGGTACATGGAATCTTGGGGAAGGCTTTAACACGAACCCGCCCAGAAAACCCAAACGTTGAAACCCTAAACCGGATGATGCATCCATGTGGCACGTTGCTGACTGACGGCCTCCTCCCAAAGGAAGCGGGTTTCGGGTTCAGGGGCTTAGGGTTTAGGGTTTAGGGTTTAGGGTTGTTGGAAGGTTTAGGTTGAGGCGTTATCATCTCAACTCCCGTGGTCCCAACACATCCCTGCCGTATCCGCAGGAGCAGGCTTGTCTTCGACCTAGACCTCTAATTATGGTTTCTGTTGCTTTTGTTCTGGTTGGGGGCGGCACCTATGTTTTTTTTAAGAGTCGGTATACTTCAATACGAAAATCGGGTACCCAAATGAGGTGAGGAACTACGGTTTAGGGGTAAACCCTAAACCCTAAACCCCTAAACCCTAAACCCTAAACCCTAAACCCTAAACCCTAAACCCCGAAACCTCCAAAGCCTCAGCCTGGTAGCCTAAGGCCTGCGGGACACGCCTTGCGACTGGTCTTTCGTTTAAGGCGTAGGGTTTAGGGTTTAGGGTTTAGGGTTTAGGGTTTAGGGTTTAGGGTTTAGGGTTTAGGGTTTTGGGTTTAGGGTTTACGGTTCAAGGTCTCCAAGATCCCTCATCCTAAACATCCAAGAAGCCGTGACATGCTATAGAAGGAGCCATCTGAGATGACGGGAACCTTCATACTAGGGAGGAGGCATTAATGTCATTGGGAGGTGAGCCTAAACAATAAATCCTGAAACCTGAACCCTGAACCCTAAACCCTAAACCCTAGTCCTTTCTGCTCAGAATCAACCCTTCGGCGTTGGGTCCCGAACCGCGGGCTGCTTGTGTTTTTGAGTTTTGGGTTTTGGGTCTTGGGTGTAGGGTGTAGGGTGTGGCAGTATACAAGGCAAACCTTTCGTAGCGGATTTAGCTCGAGTACTGAAACCCCAGACACGACTCTGAGTAGAACCTGTGCGAATCAGAAGCCCTAAACCCTAAACCCTAAACCCTAAACCCTAAACCCTAAACCCTACATCCTAAACTCAAAGCTGGCTGGGTTTGAAGGGCACCGGCTGGATAACTTAGGGAAAATGCAATGATGACTTTGTGAAGAAGCTTAACCTTGATATCCACAAGTCCAGATATATCAGAACCTCTGAACCCTAAACCCCAAACCCTAAACCCCAAACCCCAATCCCTACACCCTAAATCCCTCAAAAAGGGGACTCACTCCACTCCCCCCCCCCCCCCCCCCCCTCCTAACCTTGGAAACCCCTAAACCCCTAACCCCTAACCCCTAGACACTAGACCCTAAACCCTAAACCCTAAACCCTAAACCCCTAACCCTTAACCCTAAACCCTAAACCCTAAACCCTAGACCCTAACCTTGGAAACCCCTAAGGGAGCCAAAGCATCGCCTCGGAGGGCTTCCCCCCTCGTGCGTTCTGGGCCAGCCTCGCGTTGAAAAGGGTCGGTGCCTTTTAAACCTCCTCTAAGCCTTTAAGGTTGAGGGTTGAGGGTTGAGGGTTGAGGGTTTAGGGTTTAGGGTTTAGGGTTTAGGGTTTAGGGTTTAGGGTTTAGGGGCTAGGGGGTTCATGGTACTTATTAACCAATTGCAACCGTACTTATGACTGTACGTATAACCATATCAGGGCACTTCAGGGGCTATAAGTGGGGTGTAAGTACAGTTATAATTGGTTCAGAAGTAGGTACCAAGTAAACCCTAAACCTTACACCCTAAAGCCTAAACCCCAAACTGCTTTTTTGGTCCTAGCGCCTGCAAGGGATGAACCTGCTAGGGAAGAGGGTAGTGAGGCGCACAGGGCTTTAGCCTTAAAGGTCCTCTCAAGGGGGGCTTCGGGGTCGACACGGGCTTGGGGTCAGGGTTTATGTTTTGGGGTTTAGGGTTTAGGGTTGAGGGTTGGTTTAGGGTTTAGGGTTGTTGAGGGTTTAGGGTAGGTATGCGGGGGAATAGGGGGGTGTGGGAGTGGGAGTGCCTTTATTGGTTTCCTTCCTTCCCTACTAACCGGTTTCAAGTGCACTTTTGCGTGTCTAGTCTGGTGTGAGGAAGGAGCCCATAAAACCAAAAGAGGGCAAATGGGGGCGTACCACCGGGCTTACTAGAGAGCCTCTGGGTTCTCGGGTTTTCGCACTGTGGTTTAGCGGCTGCTTAGTGCTGGGGGACTTAGAGTGGATCCCATAGCCTATAGGGGTGCTGGGTAGCATGCTTTCAACTCTACGAACTGAGGGGGTTTGATGTTGTAAGCACCTATCCTCAGGTCGCCACATGGCTTTCATCTTCTCCTCCATGGGGGACGGCATGATGACCTCGGCTCACAGCTCAGGACTGCTTCCAACCAGGCATAACCAGGCCCCAAACTACCACTCGGCCTGCTTGGGCCGTGTTGCCTGAAACCAAGCACTACACGCTCCAGCACGCGAGTTCTTGGAAGTGCTGCGCACGCCTAAGGGGCCCAAAGCGCTGCTTTGGGGGGCTTCCCAAGCCGATTTTATCAAGAGTTGCCGGAGGCCACGAGATTCTAGAGGTTCAAAGCACCAGGTTCCGTTGAAAATGCCTTCGTAACTTATGTCACCTCCCCCGAGCTGGGGTGGGTGCCTGAGACTTGCAGAAAGCCTAAACCCTAAACCCTAAACCCCTGACCCCCCTAAACCCCTCAACCCCGCTTGGAAGCCCCAAAGGTCCTGAAGCCCTATAGGCCCAAACCCCCGGTTTACTTTGGCACAAGGAGGGTTTGCATGTGGGGTTCGGGGTACTATATCATATAGGGTTTCCAAAGTGTCTCTATGTGGTCTCGACGGGGATATCTCTAGAGGGTTTCAGGATCTGCGGGGGCAGGGCTTCTCAGATGCAGGGGGGCAATTCGATGTCTGGAAAATGCAACCTCCTATGACAGTCGACACTCAACTCTAGCTCCTGCTTCGGGCTCCGGCTCCGGCTCCGAGATTGGGCCCCGTTTCTGCTGTGGTTGCCAGGAGCTCTCATGGCACTGCGCTCTGCACAGGAGATCTGAGGCAGATGGGCAAAGGGTTTGGCGGGTGTAGAATTTCAGTATAGCCTCGAAGGGTCGAACTCCTTGAATCTCGATGCATCAGCCGACCCTGCCATACAAGTTGCGCCAAAGGGCGGGCGCTGAGGTTCGCTGTGGCTTGGCCGAGCCTCCGCGCTGGTGGCTGGCGTGAAACTCGGAGACTGTATCTCTTCGATGCCTGCAACAGGTCGCGGCACAGGTGCCGTCTGGCTGCTTGTCGATGCTGCCAAGTTCGAGGTGCACCTGCTTGTAAATAGCCCTGACGATGCCAAGAATGCTTATCAGCATGCTGAGATTGAACTGGGTCGCGGCGGCATTGCGCAATGATGTAATGGCGGTACCCTGAATAAGCAATGACAGAAAGCTCTCGGAAAGCTTCTCGGATTGCAAGACTCGCAGGAGCACATCGGTCTGGTATCCGACTTGAAAGGACTCTCTGATGGCAGCAGCAATCGCACAAACTCCGAATCGCAGTTGCTGCACCAGACTCCACAAAAGCACACAAGCCTGGCAACCTGCCAGCAAGTATTGCTTGGTTTGGACCAGGGTCGAGAGGCAGCTTACGTCAAGCATGATATCTAGCAAATAGAATGCGACTTCCCACGTCAGCCAGGCGCGCCCTGTCCAGCTTGGGATTCTCGGAGCTCCCGAGGTCTGCATGGCTCGTAGCATCTTCTGCTTCTCAGCATGGATTGCACTGCGCAGCAGGTCTGCATCGAGGTCCGTCATCTGCAAGCACAAGTACAGAAGGAACCACAAGGGCGGCGCAATCATGGCGCAGAGAAGGATGCTGACCCGCTGCAGCAGGGCGTGTGGTGCCCCATCCAGGCCTGTAGAGCAGAAGATGGGCCCTAAACTGTAGCAGAGGTTTGTGTGGATGCCGGCCCTCTGTGTGCAGTGACAAGTCCTAAGCCGAATGAGGCACATGTTAGCACTCGGTGTGTACTCCGAGAGCAAGGCTTCCCAGACGGCGTCCGTGTGACATGCCGGCAGTATACAGCCTGCCGCCGCAGAGTCGTATGCTTCTTCCCAGGATGGCTGGTCTGTGCACATCGTCGCCAGGCTGCTCCACTGAAGGCCTAGGGAGACAAAGGCCACACTGGAGAGAAGCAGCCGGAAAGCTGCTTCCCAGGCGCAACCTGGTCCTTGTGACTCGTGCTCTTGTGAGAGCCTGAACATGGATTGGCGGCTGGTTGCTGCAAGGAGAGCCGGTTGCCGCAGTAACGCAAGCACTGGCACCTTCTGCACCAACTTCATGAGAACAAGTAGCAGGAGGCCCCCCATGTAGACGTACTCATTCATGAGGAACGGGAGCGCCAGGATGCCAAAACCGCTTAAGACTTCGAACATCAGTACCCACCAGACCAGCCAGGACACGCCCCTGCAAGTTTCCCTGAGCGCAGTCTCCACCGCTTTCAGGTGCATCGCCAAGGGCAGAGGAACCGACATTTCTGCACCCGTGGGTTCTTTTAGGCGTTCCGGGTTTAGGATTCAATGAGGGGCTTTGGGGGCAGCCACTTCTACTCAGCTGATTGGAGCTCAGGGTACTCCTCAGACCACCCAGAATCATAACAACTCCCCGCCCAAAAAGTCAGCACCCTGTAACGATTCCCGTAAACCCTAAACGTGCTTTTTCCTGGGCTTAGAGTTGGAGGGCTTAGGGGGCATTTTGAAACCTTGTCTTGTGGGGAGCAAACCGGGCCGGAGCTGAAATGCCACCAAGGGTTTAGGGTTTAGGGTTTAGGGTTTTAGGGTATGACAAGTAGGCTGACACTGTAGCTTCAGGCCACCTCCCCAAGCATGGAGTCGAGGTTGAACGGCTTCATTTCGCTAGGGCGTACACGGAAGGCTCAGGCCCGCACCCAGATGGAGGCTCAAGGCCGATCTTACACAGCTCCGCGGGCGGTAGGGCGCTAGACTTGCAGGACTTTTCACTGCCTATCTCATGCCCTGTTCGGAGCTCTGCCTCAACATCCAAGCTATCATCTGAGTCATGGGAAGAACTCTGCACAAAGTCGCTGAAACTCGGCCCCTAAACCCAGCAACCCTATAGTTCGAAGGAGTGAGGTGCGAAGTGGCCATGTGCTGCATGAGCTGGGGTCTGCAAAGAGCCGACAGGCCTTATGGGCCATCCGGGTTGCGCAAGATCACGGCCATCTGTGCAACTCGATGGTCCGCAAACGGAGCGTGGGTGTGCGTGCGTACATACATACATACATGAATTTTGCATATTTAGACATATATGAATAATATATACACATATATATATATATATTTATTTATTTATTTTTATTTATTTATACTTATGTATACATAAAAAGGATGTACACGAGCACTAACATGTGCTTGCCTTAGCTATGTACGTGCGTATACCCATATACATTCATTCATACATACAAGCGAATATACACATACATAGGTAGATAGGTAGAAAGATACAGATAGAGGGAGAGAGGGAGAGAGAGAGAGAGAGAGCCAGGTAGAAAGATGCAGAGAGAGAGAGAGCTTAAACAACAAAAACATGAGTCTTAACCTGGCAGATCCAGTCCGTTTCCGGTCTGATCCTAGTGTTCGGGTGCAGGGTTTAGGGTTTAGGGTGTTGGGTAAGCCCTAAACACTAAACCTAATGCTGAGGGTGTTCGGCTGTTGGGCGTCTCGTGGGATGAGGCTTATGGCGTTGAGGAAAACACTAAGCTTTCCCAACTCGTACAGCCCCACAGTCCCTAAACCCCAAGCAACCCCGCACCTTCCAAAACCCCAAAACCCTAAACTATCAACACCATGCACGCAAAAACACCACCCTGAAATTCATGAGCAATAAGCCCAAGCCCGCTTGACCTGCAGGCTTTGCCTCGGCTTGGGGATCTAAGGCTTGAGGCGAAGAAGGTTTTTTAGGGTTTAGGGTCCTTTAGGTTGAGGTTTTGACATTTTAGGCTTGAGTGCTTTTTTGGGGGGTTTTGGGCGGCAGGTTCTTTGGATTGAGCGTCTAGGCTTTAGGGTTTGAGGGCGATGGGGTTTTGGCGTTTAGGGTTTGTAGCTTGTCTTGAATTCGGGCCTCAAGGCCTGAGATTTTAAGGTGTAAGGGTGTAGGGTTGAGATATTCAGGGCTTGGGGGCTTATAATAGGGTTTAGGCAACTATAGGGCCTTGAGGTTACAAGCTAACGAGTTTCGAGGTTACAGGGTTTAGGAAGCATAAGGCTTAGACACTTCTGGGGGCTAAATTTCGGCTGGAAGCAGAAGGCTTAGACACTTATGGGGGCTAGATTTCGGCTGACCTCCTTCTGGGCGAATACAGCTGAACTTCGCGAATACAGCTGAACTTCGGAACAACAAAGATCCGCGAGTGAGAAGCTTCAGCTGAAATGAAAAAATGAAAGCACCCTAACATAGCCTAATTCAACACGCTACACCAAGCCTCACAGAGCCAACAATCCCCAATGCGAGAACGAGCTTCGTGGCAACGGCTTGATAGAACGCCACCGTTCAGGGCATTCCATGGGCCACATCACCTACACCTCCATGCCCTATACGCCGTATTCGCCCGAAATCCCTCAACCCCTCAAGGGCTTAGGGGGGCTTAATCAGGGCCTAGGGTTTAGGGTTTAGGGGCCCAAACTAATGACCCCTCAACCGCTTCCAGGCTGCATGTGATCCTTGTACTGGATGAGGGCGTTCATGTCGAGGCCTAAGACCTCCATGCGGGTTTAGGGTTTAGGGCTTAGGGTTTAGGGCTTAGGGTTTAGGGTTTAGGGTTTAGGGCTTAGGGCTTTCGGTCCAGGACTTCAGGCCTTCCGGGCTTCTTTGGGTTCAGGGTTTTTAGGGGTTTAGGGTTCAGAGGTTTCTGGAAGAAGGTTTTAGGGTGTGGGGTTATAGGCTTCAGGGTTAACTGGCAAGGGGTTGAGGTTTTTTACCGGATCTGCTACAGGGTCCTTGGCGGGTCTTAAGGTAGTGAGATTTTTAAGAAATATTCAACCTACCCCTTGCAGGCATACCCCTTACAAGAAATCCGCCGAGGCCTCGGGCCGAAGGTGTATAGGTAGTCAGAACAGGCACCCCCCTCCAATCCTCCCCCCCCCCTTTTTTTGCCTCAAATGGGTACCCCCCCTAGGTGAGCAGGGTCCGCAAGCGGATGGTTCGCCAGGACCAGAGGCAGTTGCAGCCCTTCCCAGCAGGGCCCCCCCTTTTTCACCCCCACTTGAACCCCACCCCCCCCTCCCCCCCCCTACCCCCCCCTTGCCCCCCCCTACCCCCCCTACCCCCCCACCCCCCCCCCCCCCCCCCCCACCCCCCCCACCCCCCCCCCCCCCCCCCACCCCACCCCCCCCC